CCCCCCCCGCCTAAAAGTACTAAAACAAATGACAGTACTTGCCCATAGGGAAACCATGCTTGCCCAGAGAGAGTCATAGGGAAATACTTGCCCATAGAAAATCATTGGGGGATACTTGCCTATAGAGAATGACAGGGAAATGGAAGTATTCCTCGATTATTCCCTATAGGCAAGTATTCCCCATTGATTCCCTATGGACAAGTATTCCCCAATGATTCCCTATGGACAAGTATTCCCCAATGATTTCCTATGGACAAGTGTTCCCAATGATTCCCTATGTGCAAGTACTGTCATTTGTTTTAGTATGTCTCCCTCCCACTATCTTCCTCCACTTTATATCACTTTCTTTTTAAATTCAAGACAACAACAACAACAACAAAAATCTCCAGTTTTTGTTCCTACTTTGAGAAAGTCTTTTGCAACAAGAGCGCTTCTGAGCATGGATAGAGTGTGGCTCCTTTTTTTAGCAACTGATAACGGCCTCTTCTCACATGTATTTTTTTTTCTTTTTTAGAGGGGGAATTTATTTATTTGTTTAGTTAATACACCACTTTTACTCCCCGATGGGAGCTCACAGATTTTTTTTCAAAGTTACAATAAAATTTAAAGCAGTTAAAAATCACCTTAAACGATATAAAAAATGACCTTAAAAATATAACACAAGCGGTTAGCTCTGGGAAATGTCAACTCTTGTGGACAGTGGGGCAGGTTGTGTGCTCCTGTTTTTTCATTTTTGGAAATGTTTTGGTAAATAAAATATGATAAAATATACCTTATGCTAAAATGGAAGTTTTCAGAGAGCAACTATAAGGAAAATGCTGGGTTTCCTAAGTCTAAAGGTACCTTGCTGCCCAATGGTTCAAGCCTCCATTGGTACTAATGGGCTGCATCCACACTGCAGAAATAATGCCATTTGACACCACTTCAGCTGCCATGGCTCTGCTGTGACATTCTGGGAATGGTAGTTTGGTGCCACAACAAACTACCATTCTTAGAATGCCATAGCATTGAGCCATGGCAACTGAAGCGGCGTCAAACCGCATTATTTTTGCAGTATGGATGGACTCATGGAGTCATTACTTCCGCCTTGATCCATACTCCTGCCTCGATCCATTGGGAGAGGTGGGACATACAAATAATAATAATTATTATTATTATTACATTGTCCTTCCTTGCAGGGCTTTTCTAAAGGAGAACTTCAAAGAAGTGACATGGATGCTTGAAGTATGCAATCTAACTGCTCAGCCATATTTGTAGAAAATACTATCAAGTATTTGAGAAAATACTATTAAGCACATCGCCATACACTCAAATACTTAGGTAATACAGTAATAAAAGGTTCAATTCCTGTCCAGACACATTCCACATAACTTTGCATTTCCTATTTTTGAGCAGACAGCTGAGACCCCTCCTCTGTCTTTATTTTAATCTTCCTTGTCAGAGGCCCTTTTTAAAAACAAAGCCACTTCCATATTGGTTTGTTCTGATATTGTCTTTCAGTTGGTAAGGTTTTTAAAAAAATTGAACTGCCTTGAGGATCTTTTTTTTTTTTTTAAGGGCTGGAAAGATGGTAGCTAAACATGTTTTTAGGTTATAATAAAAACAGTAGGAGGAACCAGAAAACTCTTTGGCTTAAACAGAACAAAGGAGTATTATTTTAAAGTGTATGGGTTTTAAGTGCTTTTAACTTTTTAAATTGTATCCCATTTTTTAAACAAATGGTCTGTTTTAATATTGTTGCAGTCTAATTCCTTTTGAGCTGTCATCTCTAAGTTTTTAAATGTACTGTTTTTTAGACTGCAAGCCGCTTTGAACCCCAATTTTGGAGGAAAAGCAGGGTACATAATAATAATAATAATAATAATAATAATAATAATAATAATATGGCAATGTCCAAAGAGCTATTCAAGTGTTGCTGAAAAATGTGGCTATGCCCACTGGGATTTTCTTTTTAACTTGAAAAACACACCTCACTACCACATCAGAAACCACTTTAAAAACTCCCTGTTTCAAAAGATATTTGCCAGGAGATTATTGCTATTCATGAAACACAAACTTAAACCCACCTCCAGTATGTTGCATTAGCCGTTCTTTGGACCTAGGCCCATTGAAGTTGCTGTTATCCGATCTAAAACCAATCCAGAGATTGTGACTGGAAGCATTCCTTATGGAGGAGAAAGAAATCTGTAACAGGAATGAAAGACGCTTATTAAGAGCTAGGTTTCTGATAACATCTGAGGTATGTTTTGGAAAGGGAATTGTTAGCCTACCAGTCTCTTTCCAGTTAAAGCTCCTTTCTCATTCTCATTCTTCTCCCTTTATTTCCTTGGAAGATAACATTGAGGTTGTTTTTCTTCCTAAAACAAAGCAACGTAGCTTAAACTTTGACTTCCTCTAGAAATTCTGTTTTGGCTGGAACACGTTTTTTTATTTCCTCCCCCCCCCCCCTTGCTCCCATCTCATCTAAAAGTTATATGTTGTGTGCATGCAAGAATTTGTCTTCTGAATTTGGGTTAGAAATGTTTAGTTCTGATCCAGAGAGGGAATGTGACTTGTAGCAGGCAGGCTGTTTCTTTCCCACGTCCGATTTAATTTCTTCTCTGAAAAGTAGGTTAATTGGCTTAATGGGCATTTGCTTCACACAGGATTCTTTCTTGGGCTCTCTACCTTAGACTGCTTAGAGCTGCGGATGTACGTTGTTTTTAAATTTTGATTGAAAATTGAGCTGCTGGAAAATCTAGCAATGTAAGCAAAGAAGCACCAAACCCAATTGTTTTTTTTTTCAATTTGTCTTAAACTGCCACTGATGAACAAACGAACAACATTGTCCCACAAAGGCTTTTGAAAATTCCACCATCTAAAAGCTTTTTCCATTTGAAGTGGTACTGTACATGTGTTTTTAATGAGAGCTGCCTCGAGATAAACAAGTTAATTTTGCCCACTGTGAAAGAAGACTTAATTAGTAGTATGCACACACCTTGGGTTGGATGTGCCATATGAAATTCCAGGAAACAACAATGATTTATACCTATCTGGCCACTCTCCACAGATTGATTTCTTTCTCTCTCCCCCCCTTCTTTTGAACTTGTAGCAATTGATATAAGTTTCCTTCAAATTAGTGTCAGTTCCTAAGTGTGAACAGCATGGAATCACTCTCAGTCTGGCTATTCCAGGATGTGATTAAAAGGTATTTGATCTTTATCTTTGCAGAGTTGTGGAATGGTCCTGGTAGCCTGTACAACGGGGAGGGGAATGCACAGCTCTCCAGATGAAGTTAAATTACAACTCCCATCAGCCTTAGTTAGCATTACCAATGGTGATAGAAGGTGGGAGTTGCAGTGAAACAACATCTGAAGGACCATGCATCTTCTGTCCTTGCTGAACATGTTCCTTAAAGAATTAATGTGAAAGCATCATGTCTTTATGTGGAGATTGTAGTTGGAGAAGAGAAGGTTAAGAGGTGATATGACAGCCCTGTGTGAATATTTGAGGGAATGTCATATTGAGAATGGAGTAAGCTTGTTTTCTGCTGCTCCAGAGAATTGGACCCAGAGCAATGGATGCAAACTAGAGGAAGAGAGATTCCACCTAAAATTAGGAGTAGGAAGAACTTTCTGACAGTAAGAGCTGTTTGACAGTGGAATATGATCCCTTGGAGGGTGGTGGAGTCTCCTCTTTTGGAGGTTTTGAAACAGAAGTAGGATGGCTATCTATTGGGAGTGCTTTGGTTGTGTGTTCCTGCATGGCAAGACTGGATGTCCCTTATGGCCTCTTCCAACTCTGTGATTCTATGATCCTGTGTAAATGAGTTATGGTCCTGGGTGCCTCCGGAAGCTACGGTAAGTAGACAGAAATGTACAGAAAAAGTTGTGACTTTATTCTCTCCCCTAACCTGCCAAACATATTCATGAAAATATTGCAAACACAAAACATCACATCACAACATGCCTTTGATATCCAGCCATACTCAAAAGAAACCTTTCTGTGCTAGTTGTGATAAGATATATCTGTGACCTCA